TGCCAGAACGCCATTCTTGGGACTTCAGCACGCGAATCAACATGCCTGATGCGTTCCGACACTGATACATCTAGCCCGAAAACCGTTCCTGGGACTTCGACCGTGCGAGTTCCTGAACTGCTGCAGGCTTTCAAAACAAATGGGCGCGGCGCCAAGGCGAGAGCTAGCTTGTTCGGTGGGGAAATCAAGCGCCGTTTATCCGTGAAACTGCTGCGAGCTATTAGTGGAGGATGACGATTAGTCAATGACCGGGGGTCGTGTTCATGCGGCGGCGCCCTGGATGACGATTTGAAAAAATTGGCCGCGGGCTGGAAAACTATTTTTTCAATCGTTCTCCTTCAGTTAGAAATTGTGCAGAAATGACAGACAACTATTTTTTTAATCGTTCCCCCCATTTTTTATTAATCGTCATTCCGCATTAAGACGAAGGTGCGATCAGGCGAGAGCTACATTTTGAAGACGGCCCGCCCTCCATGCGTGAAGCTGCGGCAAACTGTTATGACGCAGGTGCGCGGCGCTCGGGCGAGGGCCACCCACGCTTTGAAAACGTCCCGCCCGTCCAGCCGCGAAGCTCCTGCAGGCATGCAAGACGAATATGTGCGAGGCGCGACGGCGCGAGCCACACTTTGAAGACGGCCCGCCCTCCGTCCGTGGATACGTGCAACGTCGGTGAGGGGGTTCTCGGGCGAAGCGCCGACCCGCCCTGCCGACACGCCTGGGGGTGCGAAGGGGAGACGTTACTTCTAAGGAACTGTGACGGAAGAGAAGGAGGAGACGAGAGGATGATGATGATGATGATGATGATGATGATGATGATGATGATGATGATGATGATGATGATGATGATGATGATGATGATGAGATGATGATGATGATGATGATGATGATGATGATGATGATGATGATGGATGATGATGATGATGATGATGATGATGATGATGATGATGATGGTGATGATGATGATGATGATGATGATGATGATGATGATGATGATGAGATGATGATGATGATGATGATGATGATGATGATGATGATGATGATGATGATGATGATGATGATGATGATGATGATGGTGGTGGTGGTGGTGGTGGTGGTGGTGGTGGTGGTGATGATGATGATGATGATGATGATAATGATAATGATGTTGATGATGATACTGCTGACGATGATGACGATGTTGATGATGGTGGTGATGATGATAATGGTGGTGGTGATGATGATGACGATGATGACGATGACGATGATGACGATGATGATACTGATGATGATGCTGATGCTGATGATGATGCTGCTGCTGATGATGATGCCGACGACTACGAGGACGACGAGCGCTATAATGAATGGTGTCGGAAGAGGAGCAGGATGAGGCGCAGGATGAGGGAAGGCAGGAAGAGAGGAGGAGGAGGAGTTGGAGGAGGGGGAGGAAGAGAATTGGAGTGGGAGAAGAAGAACCATGATGTGGAGGGGGGGGGGCGGGATGAGGAGGAGGAGAAGGAGGACGAGGAGGAGGGGGAGCCAGAGGAGGAGGAGGAGGAGGGTCGTGAGGAGGGGGGGAGAGAGAAGGAGGAGGAGCAGAAGGAAGAGGACAAGAAGGGGGTGGACGAGAGGGTGGCCAGGATAGCAATTTGGAGGAGAGAGAGAGAGAGAGAGAAGGATGAGGAGCAGGGACATGAGAAGAACTTGTGACACGACGAGAAAAGACGTGGAACGACGATGGGAAAAGACAGGTAGGTGGGGAGGAGAGGAG